GTCAAAAAAGCCTGTTTGAGTGGCTTTATCCAAATATATTTCAGCAGCCACAACCAGTTTTTTTCCAAAGCTGCCCCCTTTCTCCTCTGTATGCGCGTGTATTTGTATTCCCTCACAGCCGCCAATGTGGTGTATTGTAAATAGTGTTCTTTTTCTTTCTTCCCATCCTTAGCCGCCCATTATTTTCTAGTGCAAATGGAATTCCAAGTGGTAATTAGGTAGTGTTTGATTACACTTATTATCCATGGAACTTGGAATTTAAATTTCATTTCGAGGTTCTGCCATCTTTTTTTTTTTTTTGAAATAGAAACAAATTTCAGAACCAATTGTAAAATTTTTTTTCACTTTAATGGACAATTTAATGAAAAAATGATTTTTTAGGAAATTTTTTTTTTTACTTTTTAGCGATGGAAACAAATTTTATAACTAATTGTGAAAAAAATTATCATTTTAATAGACAATTTTCATTTAAAACAAAGCCAAACGAACATAAAATTTAAAAATTTTTCGGGTGCAAAATTATACAAATCAAACACACTTAATTAACAATTCCATACAAAACAATTCCTAGACAATTACTTTCCCTAAAATTCATTTTCTTTCCACCCGCTTTCCACCCTTTCAATCAAATAGACCCTAAGTTGAATTCTATATGACACAGTTATGAGTTAACTGCAACGTGCTACCAAATAACGTTATATATTGTACCGATTGAATAAAAATTGGAAAGTTGGGATTGGGGGATTAAACATATCTAGATGAGAAAAAATAATGGAACTTTTAACTTTTGCCATATTTTTTTGAATTAAATCGTATGGTAAGCTCACTCTGTTTTTAACATCTTCTACCGATTTGACGTAATAAATAATATTGTTTGGTGGCATATTGGCATCTAAAGGAACCACGCAATATTTACATTAATGTTTTTAATCGAGTGATTATTAGTATAATCTTTAAAAACTTGAGTGAGTTAGTAAGAAAATAATTTCAATGGCCATTAACATTAATTACTCAAACTTTCATTGACCATTCACATTTTGAAGAAGACAAATATCAAATGTTCAAGATCAATAATCCTTAGTTTTTTTTATTTTTTTTTTAAATGACAAGCTTTAGG